TGGTAGGCTGAGAGGTGTTCCTGGTATTATTTTTAATTCATTGAAAATGGAACAAGGATGATATGGCTCATGAACCTAGAATTATGATTATTCCAAACTTTTTTAAAATCAACTATTTTCTTTCCTGTAGACACAACACCTAGATAATATCTATATTTCTCCAACTCGATTGATATCTTACCCATTGAACAAACCAAATTTCAATTAAATGTGTTAATTTTATTGATATGAAATTCAAATTATATTTTCAATCTTCAATAGTAAATTTAATATAATACATGAGTTCATCTCTGAAATTAATTCCATGGAAGAAATTAAAAAGAAAAGGAAAATATGAAACCTAAAGTCTTCAGGGAAATTTTCACAAAATTGTTTGGATAAGCCTCTGACCACAGTCAACGACTTGTTAATCACCTCTGTGGGGCACCAGTCCCTAAGGTCTAAAACACATCAACCTAGCAGCCTTTAGAGTTGAATATAAATACTTTCTTGCTAGCTGGTAATGATTCTTGGTGTATACATAGACCAATATAGTGCTCTCTTTGCTTAATTAGACACAAATCTGCGTACTAATGTGTCTACAAGAGTGTACACTAAAAGACTACAAATATCCTATCAGAAATACATCTAACAAAACCTAATTCGTTAACTCTTGCACCAATCCCACATCCAGTTTTTCTCTAACATCTTCATTAGATAAAGACTCCTATTGAATCTTGAAAATGTGATTTAAATGCAAATGTGATTGTGGTGTTAGTATAAGAAACTGATAGCTGATCCAATATTTCTTGGACTCAGTGAGTTGCCAAACAAGAATTTTTCTGAATTATCACTGAAACGAAGGATCATCATAATGGGAACATAGAGACATTTGTACTACAGGAGAGCATGACAGCTGTGAATTCTTCCCTCAGGAAAACATAAATGTACTCTAATATTTTTGTCTTCTGGTAAGTATTCTCCGCTATCTACAACAGAGGAAGACACAGAATAGGAAACAGATGCTAGATAGCGTACATCTGAGATAGCATAGGCCTCAGTCTAAAATGAAAGCAAAAATGTGAGAGGTATAGGAGATATAAATAAATACCAATATAACTTGTGCCCTCTCAGGAATGAAGATTATAGCAAATTTCAACAAGAGGAGTTAGTGGATTTTGAAGTTACTGAATGTTCATTATACTAAATATCTTATATTTAATATATCATTTAATCCTCCTTACAACCATCGTACAAGGCACCTACTACTAGAATATTTTACAGATGAGGAAACTGAGGTTTAAAGAAGTTAATTAGCTTGCTCAAGTTCACACAGTGAGGGAGTGACCGAAATCTGCTCTAGTAAAATCACAGGTGGTCTAACTCTGGAGTCTGGGGTCTTAACTAGTTTTATATTGTCTTTTTCTGCTTTGACTTTGTATGGATACAGCAATACAGCCTCTTACTTTTCAATTAATAAAAGAACCATTTAATAGCTTCTCATTCTTTACACAATTTTAGACAACCACGAAATTTTATGCTTCTAATTTTCTCTCCACATCACTGTATAAATTCAAATTTAAATATGTTTCATTTGTCTTAAATTCACCAAGGAAAGTAAAATGTAAAATTATGCTATGTTCCTAGAAACTGACCTCCATACCATGAAAAATGAGAAACTGAGTTTCCATCAAAATGTAGCATGCCTCTTTTTTATCATCTATTTCTTCAGTATGTACTCTAAGTCTCATTTTTAATATCACATTCACTTTTTTTTTTTTTAATTTTATT